AATGAGACAATTAACCACCACCATCCCTATTGGAATCCAATTCAAGAAACTTCACTCATCCCTGGTAGACAAATGTTCTCCCACTGAGCTATATACCCTTAGTACTAAAACTGCTTTGTTCTGCCTCCATTACACAGCAGAGAGGTTAAATACTACTGCCCCTGCCATCTATGCGACCTTGCAAAACACACAATCTCTACACCTTTTTCCTCATCTTTAAAGTGGGACAACTGTACTTGCATTTCATAGGGAAGTACACAGATAATTAAAATGTCTATCAATGGATTAACTCAATGTCTGGCAAGAACATAATACTCAGAGCTTTAAATGGCTTTATCAACTGTTTATGAATAGGGTAAAAGCAAGTTCCTTTGAGAACTACGTGTTTAGCTGGCTCCTCAAGAAGTCAGTGGACAATCTAACTTTATTACAGACTGATCTAGTTGGTCCTCCACTGTACTGCCTCTGTCACCTGATACCCTTGTGTGATTTGAAGCTATGACCTAATCATTTGGGTAACTGGAAACTTCTGTAAAATCCAGGGCACATTTTAAATTTAGGACTAGAGAAAATGTTACCTTTTGTTGAAAATATAGATCATCCATACTAAATGCAAGAAACTAAAACTCATCTTTTTGGCTGTGTGTGTGTGTGTGTGTGTGTGTGTGTGTCTTGTGGCTGGAGATGTAAGTCAGCTGTTTGAGTGTTTGTCCAGTCTGCTTGAAACCCTAGGTTCAATCCACAGTACCACAGACAACCAGGCATGGTAGTTCATATCTTTAATCCCAGCATTTGAGAAGTTGAGGCAGGAGGATCAGAGATCCAAGATCATTCTCAACTACATAGCAAGCTCCAAGTCTGAGGCCAGACTGGAAAACATGGGACACTACCTTCCATCAAAAATCGATCTAAAAAACAAGAGGGAAAGTGGAAGAACCTAACTAAATCAGTGTATTTCTCCCTTCCCAAACTTTGTTATCAGATAAAAATCAAGCTTAACTTTTAAAGGGAAAAGGACTACCCAGGTTAGAGAGGACGATCAGCATGACAGAGGAGGGAATGCGAGCCAGATCAGTGGTCCTTGTCTATGAAAATTGCTGAATGCAACCCATTACATGCTACACCACCAACAAAAGCCAAGTCAACAGAAGTTCTAGAAACTATAAGGATAGGAAGGCATTCCTGGCCGACTTCTTTTGGGTTCCAGGTCCTGGTGTCAGACTGAAGGTTCCTCTCATTTCAACCTGTCCAGATTTATGACCACTTACTTCCCTCCCTCAGTGATGGATTTGCTTAGGCCACCATTCTCAGCAGCAGGGAAGCATATGGAAATGCTTGAAAGTCGCTCAACATTGTCCAAAGCCATCCTGTGAGCTTAACGGCCATTACTATCTTCATTAGAGCTGTGTGACTCCTTGAAAACAACCCTCATCTGGGATTCTTCTCCCTCCTACCTATACTTGTCTCCCAGCTGTAATTCCTCTCCAGCGAGCCTTGTTCTCCGGCTGGTCTTAGGTTATTGAGTGTTTATATAGAGTTGGAAGCTGAGACTTTCTAGTGCTGTGATTGCTTTGGGTCACCCACTATCTTTTAAGTAAGCCCAGTAACTCACTGACTCATCAAGTTGAACACTGGGGTGGTCTGTTGTTAGTGTCTTATCTAGAGTGATCATGTCTTTCCACCAAATATTCACTTGACATACCGAAACTTGGAAGGCAGGCTGGGAGCTTCCTTTGAGACTGAGAACCAAAGATGTAGTCTTCTATATGAACATCCTGAGGCCAGAGACAGGACTGAGTGTTGGGAAGAAGCATGCTTGCCCAGGGCTAATCCCAGCCCATCCAACTCCCAGGCTCCTTTCTCCTATTTCAAGACTTTAGTTACAAATGCTGCCTCATTTTTCTGTGGAATTTCCCTCTTCCCATTCTCCCATTCATAGATAGCCTTGGTAACTGTTCTTTATTCTCTGCCAGGTTGGTTCTGACAGACTAATGGGTATCCTGAAAACATAATTCCTATAAACAGGCTAGAAACAGGTTGGTTTAAACTTGCTACTTTGAAGGGCACATAAGGGCCTGGTGTAATATCTTGCAGAGAACCCAAGCTCTGTTGCCAGCACCTGTGTAGGAAGGGTTATGACCATCTGTAATTCCAGCTCCAGGGACTTCAATGCCCTTAGCTTCTAGGATCTGTAGGCACTGGCACTCTTATGCATATACTTACACACATATACACATAACTACAAAAGTAAAATGAATCTTAAAAGAGAGGGTGAGGTAGGCTTGCAAAGTATGATCAAATCTGGGTTTTAAAAAGCCCATATGGTTTTTGTTTTATCTTATATTTTATTTTGTTAAAAAAGCCCATACTATTTCCATACAGTCTGCTCATATAAGAACCTGGTAAGTGTGGTGTACCATCTAGTCATCTTGATATTGAGCTGTCAGCAACTCAACAGCCAATCAAAGGGAACCGACTAAGGAATCCATGGATGTACATGTAGCACAGATGTTTTCAAAGCCAGTTTTTACAAATTCTCTGGTTTCACTATGGATAGAGCCCCACTCACACATCCAGAAAAGTGATCCCAATACTTCTAGGAAATAAAATTTGAATCTCAGTAAGTGTACCTGAGAGGCTTGTTTTTTTGAGAATCAAGTGGAATCAAATCTCCAGGTAAAATTATCTCAGGCTTCGTGATCTCTGAGAATAATGCAATAGGGTACTTCTTATGCCCTTTACCTAATTTTAAATAGACTGTGTGTTTTACATGTAAAATTACAACTCAGCAAACCCTGGGTACCTTTTTCAAAGTGATGTCATGGCAATTTGTTGATAAATGGGTAGAACTAGAAAAAAGTCATCCTGAATGAGGTAACCCAAACCCAGAAAGACAAACATGGTATATGACTTACTTAAAAGTGGAAATTAGCTGTAAAGGAGAAGATAATCATGCTACAATCCACAGACACAGGGAAGTTAAGTAACAAAGAGGAATGAAGCGGGACACAAAGATCTCCCTGGGAAAGGAAAAATGGAATAGACTTCACAGGTAGAATGGGGCAGGGTGGGTGGGGATGGGAACAGGAGGGATCAGGTGTTTGGGGCTGGGGTAGGGAAGGAGACAGAATACTGGGTGTGATGACTGGAACTGCAGTTGGGATGTGATATATGAGAGAAGAAGAAATAAAAAAAAATGGCGGGGAAAAGACAGGCTGTGTGTTGGTATTTGGCACATGAAACTCAATGAGCAGCTGTTAAAATAAAGTTGATGATTTTATTCCAAAGGCTGGTGCTCCCAGAATTAAACTTTTCTTTCCTACCATGAACTTGAGTCTTGAAAACTGAGTTCCAAACTTAGAGCAACAGAGCAGTTTAAAAACAAACTTAGGGCTTTCAAGACATTGTTTTTCATATGCCATTTAATAATTTAACAAATTTTGTAAAACTTTGATAGGACAATTTAATAAGTTTTGTTACTACATTAGTTACTTTTCCTGGCACTATGATTAACTACCCGAGAGGAAGAAATGAAGACTATTTTGGGATAGCCATCAGGACAGGACAGGCACAGCAGCAAGGACAGCTCTGGGGCTTCAGCAGAAAAGACTTGCTCTTATCTGAGCAGACCAGGAAGCAAAGGGACCAGAGTCAGGACAGGACCACAAACATCAAGGCCTGCCCCTAGTGGCAACTTCCTCCAGTCAGGCTTCAACTCCTACAGTTCCACAAGCACTCAAATAGGAGCAGTAGAGACCAAATGTTCCAATGCAAAGCCCAGTGGGGATATTTCACTGCTTCCAAATTTTCTGACCCTGAGATGTAAAGACAGTGAATTTGGATTTAAGATAATATGTCTAAAAATAACAAAGGAAAGCCTGACTGTAAACAGCAATGGGCAATTGCTGGCAATGATGGTTACAAAAGATTTTACCTCTGACTCTTTAAAGTGTTTTTTTCTCTTAAAATAAAGTAGTATAGACAACCTAGACCCTAGAAGTTTTTAAAAAAAAAAAAAAAGCAGGAACAGAATTCAGATGCTTTTAAAAGAGAGGAGGAGGAGTGGAGAAATGGCTCACTGTTAGAGCACTGCTCCCAGCAACCTGAAGTGGCTCCCAATCATCCTTAGCATTCCTCCAGGGAATCCAAATGTCCCCTCTGGTCTCTGCAGGCACCTGAAGCACATGTACACGATGCAAACATGCGGGCAGGCAAAAGACTCCTGTACATAAAATAAGACTAAAAACAAAATCCAAACAATAATAACAAACCCAGGAAAAGAGGGATGATCTAGTAAAGACAGATGGTCTTCTCAAGTTCAAAACTACAGAGCAGCTGTGGAGACTGTACATAATCCTCTGGTCATCTGATAAGACACAAGTGTGACAAATACTAGGTGTGGTGGGCCATAGGCATGCCTGTAATCCCAGGACTAACGGCAGATGGACCAATTGAGTAGAGTCCAGCCTAGTCTACATAGTAGTTCCAGGCCGTCCAAGGCTACATAGTGAGACCTGTCTCCAAAAACAAACAAAAAAAGTACAACAAATAATTTTAGCATCAGTGTCTACAGCAGTCACTATGAACTGTTCTCATTGTACTGCACAAGAACTCTCAAGAACCTAGCAATCTGTCCTTCCTCTCATCCTGAGGGGTGTGATCATCTCACAGACACAACAAAGGACCAGTGGGAAGAAAGGTGCAGAATGCTAGAATGAGCATGCTTTCCCATCAAGTCACGTACTCACACATGTGCACATACTTCTAGGTTCCCCACCCCAAAGGAAAACATTTTCTTTGCTTTCAGGCTGAATCTGCAAGGATGGCCAATCACTGTGTAACAGCATCTTTACATAAATAGAAACAAATGAGAACTTGAAATACTTACTAAGTGTCAATTACTATTAGGTTGCTAGTAAATAGCTCAATAGGTTGCATCTTGCTTCAAACTGTAATAATTTAAATGTGAAAGTTATTTCTGATGAAAATTCTGAGAAACATTACAATTGAATAAAATATTTATTATTTTTTCCCCTGTGACATGACATCATTTAGTTTTGCTAGCTCTCCAAATGACACGGTTGCAGAACCTCTTTCAGCTGGCCTTGCCTGAAAACAATAAAAATGAAAAATATTAGATACAGACAAGGCTAACCCAGAGTAACCCCAATCATGATATGCATGATAAAATATACCCTAAGTCAATCAACAATGGAAAACAAGCAGAAACAGAAACCCTCTAAGAAAAGTGATGCCGTAATATCATTACCTGAGAGTCATGGTATTTCCATCCTATCATGTGGTAGATCTGATAGGTGGCAGGTATGGAACCGTCCTCATTCCTGTACATTTCTAAAAAGACAAACCTGGTTAAATTCTGGAAACAGTCATATGAGAAACAGTATCTACTCAATAATAAACACCTACTTCAAAGAGAAATGGGTCCTAGGCTAGCTGCAGGATCCGAATGCCTCACATAACAAGACAGAACACAGAGAAGCTGACAGTATGGAAACCAGAGCTACTTGGAAACAGACACAGATTAGGATCTATATCTGAGAGAAAATAAAAATCAAAATTCCCATGAAGCCTGACAGTACCTTACAAGAAGGAAATAGCACTGTGTAATGCACAAACGCCTCTGTGACTGCAGGTAGAAGGAGTGGATGGCTCACCTCTGTAAACCGCTGCAGCTGCCAGCATTGTGTCTCGGTGCAGCAGGGCTTTTCTGTTCCAAGAACAGTTGCTCTCACCCATACCTAAAAATAGACTACAGGCAGTTTAAGAAAATACTGCAAATATCCCGAGCAACTCAGTATCAAGACATGATATATCTTATTCAATAGCATCTATGCTCAGTCTCATGCACTTTCAGATTACAGCTAGGCTGCCTACTGACTGGAGCAAAGCTCTCTGAATCCTCTTCACTACTAAGTCAAGTAGGAAGGTTAATTCTCAGGAGAGAAGCACCAGGATGCTTCCCACAACAGCCACAGTCTATAGTATGCCAGCTCAGCAAAACCCACCTAGACACTAGATGGGCCACAAGCCCTGGCAAGTGTCTTTCAAAGAAAATCACACCTTCTACCCTTTCTTGCTGGCTCTTTGAGACAGGACATTGTGACAATGTCTCCTTCCTTCAGAGTGGCATATGTAATTACAACTGTGAACTTGGATGAGGGCTGAGGAACTCATTTAATACGACCACGCCTTCAAATCTTTTGATAGTTTACTAACAACAGATTTAAAACTTATGTGCATTTTCCACAGAGGCACTTTTTTTAGTATTTTAAAATTAATCTTCAGACCTTTTTTCTTTAAGTTGATGGTAAGAGGCTGTTTACTGACAATTTCTCTTGTAAGCTAGAGAGATAGCTAGAATTAATGGATAAAGTGCTTGCTATACAACCACAAACTCCAACTTACACATAAAATCCAGGTGTGGTGGTGTCTGCCTGTAATCCTTATGCTGGAAAGGGAGACAAGGGAATCCTGGGGGCACTAGCCTAGTGAATTAGTGACCAGGCTCAGTGAGAAAGGAAAATAGAGAGAGTTGACACTGAGAAGAATACTGACAATAACCTCTGGCAACTACCTGTATACATATGGAGGCTGCACACACATTCACATGCAGACAAAGGTATACCCCAAAACACACATACACACACACACAACACACACACACACACACACACACACACACACACACACACACACAGAGGCCTAGGTTCAATACACAGAGGCCTGGGTTCAATTCCCAGTACTGCAAAAAATACAAACAAATTAATGTAATATCAAATTAATGTTACCTATCTTTCTTTACATGTGCATTTTAAATTATTTGAAAAGGCTATGTTTAAGATCATTCTACAAAAGAACTAAAGGAAATTTTTAAATGTTGTAATTACTCTTAATATGAAAATTTACCTCATGAGCAACTGTCTACTACTTACTTTCACTGATCTTTACTTTTCAATGATCAAGAAATGATCATTTCTTCACTAGTTTAAAAATAGCAATCTTTTTAAATTTTTATTTTATTTAAATGAAATTTTAATAATAAAATTTTAATTTTTATTGCATTGGTTTTATAAAAAGCAATCAACAAAGAGGCTGGCAAGATGCCTCAGTTAAGTACACACATGCTCTTGCTAAGAACCTGAGTTTGGTCCCCAAAATATACCAAGCCGTGCCCAAAAGTCTATTAACTCCAGCTCCAGGAATCTGGCCCTCTTCTGGCTTCTGAGGGCACTGCTTCAATAAGTAAAGTCATCCTACTAATAAACCCAGTGTCTTGTATTTTTTGAGTTTAACAGTCCCAATTCATAAATTATTAATAGCCACAAACTAGTAAGCTAAGTTAATTTAAAAAAATATGACTGGGTGGGGCAATGCACACTTAAAATCCCAGCACTTAGGAAAGAGAGCCAGGAGGACTGTGATTTCAGGGTTATCCTCAGCTATGTGAGACCCAGTTTCAAGTATAGGAACAAACAAACAAGAAACCTCCAACCCATCAACCAACCAAAACAAAAAATCCTGGGGGCCAGAGCAACAGCTCAGTGGTTAGGAGCACATACTGCTCTTCCAGAGGAGCTGAATTCAATTCGCAGCATCTACATCAGAGGCTAGTAACTTCTAGCAATTCCAGTTTCGGAGGCTCCATTCCTCCGGATACTCCGGATACACGTGTGGGGCATATGCTCTTTGACATACACATTAAATAAAGACTAACAAATCTTAAAAAGTATTTTGGACCTATTATATATCCATCTTAAAAATATTCTCTCACATGGTGAGCATCAATCACACAGCATCAAAGTAAAGCAGGATTCACACTGCAACAGTCTATTACCAACGATGGAAACAAAACTTTAGTTTCTGCTCAACTTCCCACTGTCCTGGCTTCATTCCACATCACATGTAGTAAATACAAACACAATAAACAATTCACTAGACATTCTAAAAAGCCTGCCAAACAATTGTTACTTGCATATTCTAAATAAAATTGTTGGGCATCTGTCACCTCTGTGGGTCTGATCCAGCTCAGTTATAGAAAATTCTAGAGCACTAATATACAACATCAACAGTAACTCCTGCCACAGTAGTCCAGTCTTCCCTCAGGAACACACACTGCTGTACAGAACTCCCCCTTTCCTTGTGAAGTACTGAAGAGAACCTGAACTCTGATCACAACCTTACATAACCTAGGATAAGCATGATTCAACCTTCATTAGACTCAGTTTTCATCTTTAAAATGGAACATCTTGTAGTTCACTACGCAGAAACTTTTCTGACAACCATTTAGGAAAGACATTTGCTTTTTTTATTTTTGTTTTTTGTTTTTGTTTTTTTTTTTGGTTTTTCAAGACAGGGTTTCTCTGTATAGCCCTGGCTGTCCTGGAACTCACTCTGTAGACCAGGTTGGCCTCGAACTCAGAAATCCCCCTGCCTCTGCCTCCCAAGTGCTGGGATTAAAGGCGTGCGCCACCACTGCCCAGCTAGGAAAGACATTTGTAATGGCAGACTTAACCTGAGCTTGAGATAACAGAAAGACACTGGCTGGTAATTATTTAATAAGATTATCTGGTTTTACATTTGATCTTGGCCAAATGCTGTGAAGGGATTTCTCACAGTGGTGTTTTGTTTTGGTTTCTCAAGAAAGGGTTTCCTTATGTAGCCTTGGCTGTGCTGGAACTAGCTCTGTAAAGCAGGCTGGCCTCAAACTCACACAGATCCTCCTGCCTCTGCCTCCAGGGTGTTGGTAATGAAGGTGTGAGCCACCAGTGCCCAGTGCCCGGCTTTCTCACAGTGTTTTTAAGGTTTAATTCAAATGCTTATTAAAAACAAACTTTAATATGGATTACTGAAACAATGTGAATATTGCCTTTAAAAAGCTGAACTTACCTTAAAAGCACTGTGAAAGCCTTGAAAATGTCTCATGCATGCATCAGCTGATATGAAACTTGTTTGTAAAATTAGGTCAACATTCTCCATTTTTTTTCTGTGAATTAATAATAATGGCAGCTAAAATGAGACACACCTCAACCATCAGAAAACAAACACAACACAGATACAGAATACAGAAGCCAACTGGGGGACACCACCTTCCAGGTGGCTCAGGAGCACCCAGCAAACACCCACGCTCCTCCCCCTTTCCTCAGACTTTTCCCACTGGGTGAAGTGGAGACATGAAGATATGAACTAAGCGGTTTGCCTCCACTACAACTTGGACAAGTTCCTTTCTTCTCTGTGCTAAAGTTTCCTCGTATATCAGGACAGACTAACCACGCTAGTTCCTGTCTTACCCTCCTATAAACCATGCCTTACAAGCAGGCAAACAATGTCCTTTCTACTACACTTGACTCTAAGTCATCTCTGAGGAAAATTCTCTCAAGACAAACTCTAAGGCTCAACTGAGAAAATCCAGACACTTCTGTTCTTCTATCCTTCCCCATCATCTGCCTATTCTATACACTTAGGCAATATTATTGCCTCAGTCCCCCAATATAAGAGTAGGCTATACATAACCTTTCATAGCTCCCCACCCATGATTGTATACACACCATTCTTGGTGACACTCCTCCAAACTTTCCCTACCCTTCATCCTGAAAAACTCACTTAAGCTTACTTAGGCTCAGCTTTTCTATAAAAGACTCCCTAACATCCTAAGCAGATTTAAGGCCAAATCCCTTGTGTTTCTCTCATCTTAAGCCAAGGTTTGTCTGTCTAGCTTGGGAGTCTTTTCATCTAGAATATTAGCAGCTTGAGATCAGAAACTGTGTATCTCCATAACTAGCTAAGAAGTTGGCACATGGCAGAGACTCAATAAACAGTAAGTGAATAAATATAAAACCCACCAGTTAAGGTTTTTTCCTAGACAAATAACATTTTTACAAATTATCTTTATTTGATTATCAGATAAAAGACATCAAAAACATGATTTTTGTAAAAGGCCTGAGAGTAGAGGTAAGAGATCTCTCTAAAGGATAAGTATTCAGAACAGTTCCTCAAACTGTCAGATCTATTTAAAACCCCAGAGGATAGGCATTACTAACTGGGAAGGGGCCCCAGAAAGGTTCTAAAACTTGATCTAGAAAGTGGTTAAAAATGCAAGCAATGATCTACCCGAAGACCATGTGTTGTGGTTTGAAGAGAATGGCCCCATAACTATATCTGAATACTTCATTCCCAGTTAGTGGAACTATCAGGGAGGAATAGCAGGTATGGCCTTGCTGGAGTAGGTATGGCTTTGTTGGAGATGAGTCACTTGGGTAGACTTTGAGGTTTCAAAAGTCCATGCTAAGCCTTTCCTGACCTGCCTGTCAGTAGATCAGGATGTAAGATCCCAGCCCCATGTGCCATGCTGTTCTGCCTGCCACCAAACTTCCCACCATGGAGAATGGACTTGGCCTCGAAAACCTCCACTTAAATGCTTTCTTTTATAACAGTTGCCTTGGCCATGGTGTCTCTTCACAGCAATAGAACTGTAACTAAGACACCATATGTCTCACACTCGCCTTCCTGCACCTTCAGATTAAGGCATTTCTCAATCCTCACCAGAGAAGCTTGTTTGCAGTAGATGATGTTCAACACTGAGACCCACAAGTGGCCATGGTTCAGAGAAGTAGAGACTGCAGAATGCTCAGTTCTAAATGGAACACACACACCAAACCCCCTGTGCCAAAGGCTGAGGGATCATTAGACAGAATGTAAGATCCAGCAGGAAATGACAAGGAGGAGACAGTGTCTTCTGGGAGCAGCAGGGTAGCTGCACATATGAACCAGTATGGCAGCAGCACCTGGAATGCCCAAGCCAAATAAGGTCTCAGCATGGAGAGTGGAGCTGGACACAGTGTTCCACCCCTACCTGAGGAGCTATTAGCCATTGTTAGCTGTTGGAAGAGGACGGGTCAGTTTTCTCTAAGAGTGTAGCCATGATAAGTTAGCCACACTCCAGCAGAAGGCTACAGATCCAAGCAGCACAAACTGACCTTGAGGGGATGGGGAAAGGACAGGGACATAAAACTGGGTGGGAGGGTCGGCGCTGAGTGAGTCTTAAAAGAATTTGGGAGAGTGAATATGATCAAAACATATTTTATGAAATTCTCAAAGAAATAATAAAAAATATTTTTTAAAAATACAAGCAGCTATAACACTAAGGTTATGGCACTTAACAGAAAGGCTAATTTCACTGTATGAAAGCTGCATCTATGTATTAGTATACATACACATATATATGTTCACTCTATTAATGTATAGTATAAAACTGTAGATTCAGGTAACTAATCCTAGGTTTAGCATGACTACAGACAAGGTAATTATGCCTTTGATGAGTTCACCTGTAAATCAAGATATTAGAAAACCGGAGCCAGATACAATACAGCAGCACTCAGGAGGAAGAGGCAGAGGCATGCAGACGTAAGTCTGAGGTCAGCTTGCAATCACAAGACCAAAGCAAGAACAAGGCTAGCTTGAGGGTATACAGCCAGACCCTGTCTCAAAAAATCAAGAGGCTGGGGATGTAGCTCAGTGACAGAGCACTCGGATTACATGTGCAAGGCTAAGGGTGTTTTGATCCCTAGAAAAACAAACCCACACATGGAAAGAAAAAAAAATAACCCAGAGAACTACAGAGTAATTACTGTATTTTTAAATCAGTGGGCAGTAACCTTTTCCAACTGATAGATCTAATTTCTTATCTCTTTCTATTTTCTTTCTTGAAATGAATCATGAGCACAGCATTTATTATAGACCAGTACAAAATAAACACTGTATTCAAAGAATTATTGTTGGAGCTTAAATGAGAAATAATAATTTCGTTACCATGTAATTTCATTACCATAAGCTTTTGGATAAAAGAGCTCCATGTTTCTATGAATCTGTTTAGTACTTGGGGATATTTCAAAAAATGTTTGCTGTGTTTTATTATCTTTATCATCTTTAGTATACACCAGTAGCCTACCAATCCTATTTTTCACGTTGTGAAGGGACCATAATGAAAGGTTTTGGGCTATGTGTATTTCCCTTTGTTAATAATGACAGTATAACTGTACGCACAGAGTGGTAAACACATAAAACAAGCCTTGTGAGAAACAGGCCAACCCTTACTGCTAATAGACAACTATGACAAGCAACTAGAGTCAGTTAAGACACCAGGACACAAGACAAAAGTTTGGCACCTAACTCTGACACTCAGATTCAAGTGCTCTCTTTAGCCCTAATGTTTCTCACTTAACATAAAAGCAGTTATCAAGAGGGATGGTGAAAAAAAAAAAAACAAGTGCAAAAATGTTTGTAAAAATCGTAAGTCTGTAAATGTAACAGGCAAGCACTTAAGTAAATTTCATTACTTTGAAACATATTGTAAATTTTCAGAAACAGATGAAGGCTTCCCTATAGCTAAGCATAATTCTATTTCACAGATCCCAACTTTAACTCCTCTAGCCATGAAAATTGCCTCTGCTATTAGTGATGTGTGTGTGCATGTGCAAACAAGCAGTTCACAAAGTTTCACAAAGGAGAACAGCTGGCAATCTCTTGATGGCAGGTATTTCTTCTTGAATAAGTCACACTTTTCAAAGTTGAGAGGTAGGAACTGCATCCCTGCTGTTCCTTGGAGTGTCTTCCTGGTCATTAAAAACTCTCACCCTGTAGAGGATAGCTCCATTGCTGTAACCTCTGCTCCTGCTTGCTGGCAGACCTCAGCCTAGTCAGTCCCCTCCTTTGAAGGTTTGACACCTGGCTTGGTTTTCCTGTGGCCCTCTCATTCTGAGTGGACAGGATGTCAGTGTTAGTGTCTGTCAAGTTCCACTCTCTCTACCTCATCTCCAATGAGCTTTGTCTCTCCCCTCTGCCTCTGTGTGTGAGAGATGTCCCCGACAGAGTTGTGACTTCCAGTCATCTACCAAGCATCTCATTTTCCAAGTGCACCATCCTGCCCTTTCAGCATGATCAAGTTCTTCAGTTGTAACTATTTTCTGACTGTTTTGAGACTACTTAGCTACAGAAACTTTCATCCAATTTCCCAGCTCACTTTCGCCTTCTACTTCCTTTTCCTTCCAGTTCACCACTTCAACTATATTTGTGGAGTTATCTTTCACTTTTGTATTTCTGTCAAGTAATAGCAAAACACCAACCCAAACTGACCCAACTTCCTGTTGTTGCCAATCAGAGAAGTCTGATTGAGTTTAATGAACACTTCACACTCTGTAACTTACCCCTAGTCATTCACCTTTCTCTCCAATACTATTTCAGTGTTTCTACACAATTCTCAAACAACGGACCTCCACATGGTATTACTTCCTCTGTATCAAAGCAAACAGCACCATGAGCAGGATCTTCTTGCTACCAAACACAAACACCTACATCCACTAGGACTATCCTCCTCCCTTCAATCAATACATCTGCCTCCACCTTCCCTAGTCAACTCTGCTGCAGTGATGTGGGAGACCAAAACTTGTAAGACTGCATTCACCAAATGCTTATTTCACAAAGGCCATAGAATAAGTCACAGGCTGAGGTTAGAGAAGAGAAAAAGAAAACCCGCACCCTTGAGGAGCTTGTCTGATCAAGCAGACTAAAGAATGTGGTCTCAAGGTGGGCATGACCATGAGCAGAGATGAACCAAAAGCACTCTATTGACACCAGGACTACTTGGCAGGTGTGGTATGTAACAGGGATACTGAGAATAAACCTTGAAAACAAGAGTATTTATAGAGACTTTTAAGGTCTCGGTGACAAGCCAGGTTGAACTACATAATACAACTTTCAAAGCCAAGCTAAAGCTCTGGATCTGAACTAATGATAAGGGTTTTCCCTAAATTTCGAACATGAGACATATATGAAGAAAAATATACTACCACACATTAATGTGAGTAGATCATGTCTATAACCCAAGCTAAGGCAATACAGAGTTCAAGGTCAGCCTGGGCCAAACCATGGGACATAGTCTCACAAAACCAAATGAATTTGGGAAGTCAAATTATCAATATATTTTGGGTACTGGAGATCAAACCTAGGAAAGGGAAAACAATGTTAATAAGGTCTATTATTGTTTAAACATGGAAGCCCACCACCACTGCACATGTTTGAAATCTTGGTCCCAGTTGCTGGCACAATTTTAGAAGATTGTGGAAGAGGTGAGGTCTAAAAGGAAGTGAGTAACTGGAGTGCTAAGCCTTGAGCATTACAGCCTGGCTATGTCACTCTGGCCTCCTGCTGTGGTATCTCCAACTGCCTCTTTCTCCTGTCACAGTGCCTTCCCTGCTACAACAGACTATACAGCCCGAAGCCCGAGCCAGCATAGACTTTTCCCTTAGTTGTTTCTGTCAGGTATAATCTGGGGACTTTAAGGTTTTGTGCAGGATGTGATTCTCACTTGTCACAGTCCCTCAACTCTGTCTCACTTCCTCTGCCAAATGCCCTTCTTCGGTTCTGGCCATGTTCTCTTGCAAAAACCGCTTTTGCATAAGATGTTCTTTGTGCCTGAGACACACTTTCCTCACCTTTTCATCTGGTTAACTCATCTCTGTTCTTTAGACATGGCTCAAATACCATAAATACCATGTTCTCAAATACAATTTCTCTAATCTTCCAGACCAAGATATATTTTCAACTAAACCTCAACCCTAAACTCAAACTATCTAAGGACTGTAATTTTTTTAAATGTGTGTGTGTGTCTGTGTGTGTGTGTGTGTGCATACTTAGACCTGAGATATGAACTGTTGCTACTGGAAATCACTAAAATATCCATAAATGTACCTAAAACAAGTTCCTCCTATATTATTCCAGAAGCAGACATGGCACTAACAAGCCTCAATTCCATAGCACTAACCACAGTTCTGATTTAACTCTTCTTCGTATCCTCTGCCTGGCGTCTACCTCCTTCTACATTTTATACCATAAGCTGTAAGATGACAGTGTGCTTTCTCACCAGGAATAGACTGCCTAGTGCTTAGCCCATTGCTGCCATAGAATACACTGTCAAAATGCCTCTCAAATAGTCTGCAAATTCTTTAAAACACCTTACCTTTTAAATCTTCCATCAGTTCAAACATTCCAGGATAATTAACTTGAATTTCATCAGTATCCTATTTTTTAAAGAAAAATGTATTATTCATGTGACAATCATGAACAACAATGAAAAATTATGCTAAAGAGCTATTAACTGTTTCCCACACCACTCTTGAGGTAGGTAAGAATTTTTGCTATCAAGTGCTTACCAGTAATAGACAAGTGCCTACCTCTGAGCTCTATCTCCAACCCCAAGAAGTGTCTTGTTTTCAATATTCTTCACAAATGTTATCTTCTAAAAGCCTAACAACTGGTACTAGTTTCTACTTTGAAAAGAAAATGGAGTAACTCTGTTTTATGTTGTAATGGTTACTTTTATTTTGTTTGTTTGTTTGTCAAGGCAGGATCTTACTATGTAGCCTAGACTGCTGTAGATTTCACTATGTAAACCTGGCTGGCCTCAAACTCAAAAATCTGCCTACCTCTGCCTTTGCTGAGATTAAAGAAAGGTTTTTGCCACCATGAGTGATTTCTTGTTGTTTTTTGTAAAACATCTCCCAAAAGGGTGTTAAAAGACCAAGTTAGGCATGAAGTGGGCAGAGCAAGCTCCTATTCAATCTCCCAACTCCAAACATTCATTTAACATACTTCACTCAGATATAGGACATATCAGATATAAAACTGGGAAGAAAAGACACTACAGTTCTAATCATCACCTTGACACAATGAAGAATCACTTGGGAAGAGGGTTCAATGAGGGACTGTCCTATCAGGTTTGTCTTTGGGGGGCTATATTGATAAGGGAAGACCTGGCCCACTATGGGCAGTACTATTCCCTGGGAGTTTGTATTAGATTGTGTAAGAGTGAGAAAAGTTTTAAAAAGTGAGCTGGGTAATAAGCATACATGCCTCTGCATGACTGGATTGCTTCAAGTTCCTGTCTTGGGTAGAGGAATAAAGTATCAAATGTCAGGAGTAGCCTTCTTTCTACTTCAAACCTGCTCTATTACTTGTCCCTATGCGTAGATTTCATTATTCCTTTCTATTATTTGAAATATATATGCGTTGGCATGTGTGCCCATGAGGGGGAGGAGATCACATTTTGTAATAGGACTGGGAATTGAACTCATGATCTTTACACAGGCTAGGTAAGGGTTCTACCACTGAGCTGTATTGCCAGCCTTGTGTGTACTCTGAGTAGTGTCTATTAAAATGGATAATGGCCATTTAATCTCTGTACTTTTTACACTAACAAACCATTAAAGAGATCCTTGCTCAGACATAGCAGTACAGGTTTATAGTCTCATATGTCTGCAATGCAGAGGAAATCTGCAAGTTCAAGGTATTTTTTGAGCTACAGTGTGAATTCAAGGCCAGCCTAAGCAGTTAATTAGAGTTTCTCTCAAAACAAAAAGTAAAATAATATATGGCAGACTGGCACACTGTTAACCCCAGCCCTCAGAGAGACAGCCAGATCTCTGAGTTCAAGGTCAGCCTGGTCTATGAAGTGAGTTCTAGTACAGAGTAACATAATAATCCACTCCACACCTTCTGTATTACCCTTTCCTACACCCCATCTACATAGTGTAGAGGTTTTACCTTTCCAGTAAGCATTTTTTCACCTCTATTTATAGGTTTGTAACAACAATATGGTGGGAAATATTGGAAATGAGAGTAGACTTAAAACGGTTATTATTACCATACTGTAAATAAAGGAATATTAAAATTAAAGCTTTAAACCAGTGGTATCTTGCCAATCACATCAGATCTCAAGATCTGATGAAAAATCCCTGACACTTTGCTCTACATAGCAACAACAACAGCAAATGATTTTGTGCACAGGTTCCAGTGTATCAGATGCTAAATCCTATGAGGACCACTACACAACTGAAGAACACAATACAAGAATTGGTTTTGTTGACTACTACACCCAAATACATAGAACAGCACCCCAGCCCAGAACTCATCAATAAACAGTTGTTGCAAGACTGAATAAATAATATAGATTAGGAAGATATTTACTATAGTACTGATTCTACTAGCAAAACAGAAAATCTGGAACAAATGGAAATGTGCAGAGAGAAAAAATTAAATAAAACCATAGCATGTTTATATTAGTGAATAAGATGTGGATATTAAGATGGAGAGCAAATATCTGCACTACTTTTTGTCTTCTTTTTGAGACAGAGTTACTATGTATAACCTTGGCTGTACTGGAACACTCACTCTGTAGACAAGGCCCGTTGAGAACTAGGAGATCCACCAGTTTCTCTCTGCCTCCCAAGTGCTGGTGTAAAGGTGTGTGCTACCCCAAATACTAAAGGCTAAAATTTTGAGAAATGCTGTTCTCAGACTAAAACTAAGACTGAGGTAAATGAGGTTTTTTTTTTTTTCAGTTTATCTGAAGTTTTACATTTATGATTAAAATTATTTGTGAATTACTTATATAATTAAAAACATCTTTAAAATATAATAACCCCTCAATGAATAATTTCTTGTATCAGTAATGTTGATTCTTCAACATGAAGCCATGCTTTCCAATCTTCAGATGTTCAGCATTTCAAAACCACATTTTTACTGGCTTTGACAATTTAAAAGTTTATTAAAAGTCAACCTAGACTCAAGTAAGAAGTCTCAGGCCTGTCTGCAGCCCTTACCTTGGCCCCTCCCCTCTCCCCTTCTCTGGAGGCTTTTTTTTTTTTTTTAAGATTAGGCTTTCTGCCAGCTTACCCCCTTGCTTTTTGAAAATGATTTTATGAAATGCATTCACAATAAGTTAACTCAAATAGCCAATTTAAATGTAAGCTTATCCCTAGCTATGCAATTAGAGGCTCTTCTTCATGGAATTCCAGTCGCTTCCAATCAAATGTACACGTTTCTACATCTGAGGGGTTTGGAAATCATAGTAAGTCTATTCAACTCATCTGAGGAGAGTAAGTGCTGTAGAATGACTGTGACTGGAAAGAGGTGGAAGGGAGAGAGAGGACTCCCTTCGGGAAATCTATTCGTGGGAAGTGCTAGGAGTAGCATGAGGAAAGAGAAAAGCAGGTCAAGGAACTCATACTCTTTGGCCATTTAATATCAAGGGCTACCCAAGGTGAAACACATTTATATTTCTTAAGGAAATGCTGAGAAAAATGAAGTACTTTTCTTAAATTCCCTTCAGAAACACAGGAACAGGGCAAGGATTCAAGTTACAGTCATTACAGCCAGGTGTGTATGTCTGGAACCAAAGTACACTGAAGATGGAACAGAAGCAGCACTTCCATATCACTCTGAGACATAGAAGACTGAGTCTCCAAAACACCTCCCCAAAATAAAGTTATATGCAGTGTTCTATTCCAGTCTATGCAGAATCTACTTTTCTTCTACACTTACTTCGTATGGATTTTTTTTTTATAAAACACTCCATTCTGTTTGAAATAGAACATGTTCTACCTCAACAAAGCCTAGACCTAGAGAATGTCATCATTTTTGTCTGCTTGAATTTATAGCTGGTGGTAGGGAGAGTATTATAAATGTCCCTTTAATAGATACATCTTTTCACATTTATAGTGGTCTTATCCCAAACTGCACCTAATTTGGATCTGAAGATTCTAATGGAGTAGTATTTTTATAAAGTTTCCCTCAGAGGGGTTGGAAAGATGGCACAGCAGGTAGAAGCCCACACAGTTGGAGAGAACTGACTACCAAAAGCCTTCCCTTGACCTCTACACCTTCCTTCCTCACAAGATAAATAAATATTTAGAGACGTCTCTTCATAAACTTTGGCACTTTTTTTGAAGTGATTTACTCTGGAATCTAAAAAGTTTATATTACTGACATCAGTCAGACTGTGTTTATGTACACTAAAGACAGTATGTCATTACCATCCCACCCACTAAAAGAAGACAAACAAATTTTGAGGAAATTGTCCCAAATATTCCAGAACACTACCAATATATGCTGTTTTATACCTTTAAATTTTTTTAAGTTTTTTTTTTTTAAACAATACAATAAGTAGGTTACTTGTGGCCTGATACTCACCACAGTCAGAGTGTTGAAGCCAGCTCTTCCCAGCAGATGCCCTAGGTCATTGACAGCAGTGAAAGGAGAAATGTGTGGGGAAAAGCCTCCTTCTCTTTCTGTTTCTGCTAACTGTAATGAACACCGGAGTTCATAGAGCGTGTCACCTCCAAACATTGCACCAACAAACACCCCATCTGGTTTTAAGACATAATGAATCTGCAATAAATATAACAAAACTATTCAAATTTTACAGACAGAAACATCAAAAGAATAAATGTATTCAAGTCAGTATTTTATGACTACCAATCTTCTTTTGCCAAATTAATCAGAAAGTAGCTATCAGATAAGAAATCCTAGGGTCACTGATGTATGATGTATGTATGCTGTATAATAAAGACAGACAATACACTCACTAATGATACAAGTATCTATAAGATATATGTTTTCAAATCTTATAAAGTACAATGTTTTACAAAATCCTATAAAAAATTTAAGAGTAATAGATCATCAAAATTATAATCCTTTCTATTTGTGTCCTCTGAAAAGTCATTTTCAAGATTTACCACCAACACATGGAGTTTATTTCCTACTCTGTAAATCTGGGCTGGACTTGTGACTTATTTGGCTAAAGAAATGCAGTCCAGGTGACAGCCATGCGTTCTGGTCTAGTTCAGGCCAGTTCTCAGATGCTGGAAGGAACTCCAGCTGCTTTCTCTGAGCCCCACCAAGCCACATCATCATCTACCACCATCTACATCCTCTGCTCACTGATAAAAACAATCTATAAGCATTTATCTAACACTTACAAAGAGTATGCAAAGGGCAGATACAAATGTAAACAAGTTCTTACCCAGAAAAGGTTCACAGGCAATAAAAGGAGAAAGAGAAATAATAGTGTATGCTTTGTGATACCAATTTGTTTTACACAGTAGTTAAATCCTCAAAAAAAATATTAGAAGCATCTCTACAACCAAAAGTTCTCAAGGAATGTCACCCAATGTACATATTTACAAGTCAAAGTACCAAGTATACCCAAACCATGGAACATTATAAAATATTTGGTTTCACTACATTCCCTGTTAGACTTATGAACAATGAAAACAGAAACATTTTATGAACAATGAAAACAGAAACATTTGCCAATCTGTGATAAAAAAAACTTTCATAGAACAAACAAACAAAAGTCTTCTCACCTGTTCAAGTGCTCTAGGGAGGTCATTCACCCAGTGCAAACTAAAATAGAAACACATATTTGTTTAACCTAGATAGTATAATTATCAGTAGGATAAACCAAAAAAGGTACTAAACTTTGAAATCTGAAATTACATTGCTTTCTATACTTCCACAACTCTGATCTTTTTACACTCTCCATACTTTTTGCCTTTTTCAGAATGCCATATTCTTCAGCATATACATATTTTTGAATAATCTTTGACATGGTAATATGTCTTTGAGTTTCCTACATTCTTTTCATGTTTTGACAGCTTATTTCTTTTTAGTGCTAAGTAATTCTATTGTCAAGACATACCACAATTCAATACCTTAGTCCTGAAAGACATCTATGCTGGATAGTTTTATGTCAACTTGACACAATCTAAAATCATCTTGAGAGAAGGAATTCAATTAAGAAAATGGCTCCAGAAGATCAGGCTGTATACAAGCTTATATATAGGGTATTTTCTTAATTAGTGATTAATGAGGTAAGGTCCAGGGCATTATGGGTAGTGCCATCCCTGGAATGGTAGTCCTGGGTTCTATAGGAAAGCAGGCTGAGCAACCCAGGGAGAGCAAGCCAGTAAGTAGCACTCTCCATGACCTCTGCATTAGCTCCTGCCTCCAAGTTTCTTCCCTGCTTGAGTTCCTGTTCTCATGGCTTTTGATGATGAACTGTTATATGGGACAATGAGTGAAATAAACCCTTTCCTCCTCAAGTTGCTTCGGTCATGGTTTCTCATTGCAGCAACAGTAACCCTAACTAAGACAATATTTTAGTTGCTTGCAAGTTTCAGCAATTATTAACACAGCTGCAGCGGTTAATAGCACTTGTTGCTTTCGGGAAAACTGAATTCAGTGTTTGGCACCCAAATAGTGTATAACTCCAATTCCTACATCTGCTTTTGGCCTCTACAGGCATGAGACACACACGTGGCACAAATATATACTCACAGGCAAAATACTCACATAAAAAGCAAATCTGAAATATTTTTTGAAACAGTAATATATTATTCACTGTCTTATCTTTGCATGGGTATATGTTTTCCTTTTTTTGGGTAAATAAATAGCAAGGACTATAAATCCTAGATCCTAACAAAGTATGTACAAGTTTCAAGAAATCATCAAATAGTCTTTCAAAGTACCTACACCATTGTGCATTCCCATCAGGAACGAGTAAGTGTTCCTGTTGCTCTCTACACTTGCCATAGTTGATGTTGTCAGTGTTTGGCTTTTGCCTATTCTAATATGCAGATAGTACATCCAACATTGTTTAAGGCAATGGGAAACAAGCAAAGCTTTCTAAACTTAAGAAACCTCCTACATATTGTGTTTTCTGCTCACCCTGTTTCTCTCATATGCAACAACAAAAGAGTTTTAGCAAACTAGAAACTTGAGAATAAAAAGACACTTAAGACAGTACATCTAATTTCCACTTGGGTGTCTGTTAAACAGAAGAATCCTAATATCTATAAACTAAGATAACTGGTTTGTAACCAAAAAGCATTTACTCTATCACAGTGACAAATATAGCTCAGTGACAGAATGTTTGTCTTTAACACCCAAAATCTTAGGTTTAATTCCAGGCCCGGAGTGGGAGGGTATTAGTCCACTATCCATTGCTATCCTAAGAGTACAATGTTACAACATAAATTAGATCTATTTATAACATAAATACACACACATACGTACATACATAATTTGTGTGTATGTGTCTATGCATGCAAGCTTGCACATACGTGCATGTGGAGATCAAGGTTAACCTCAAGTACTCTTTCTCAGATTCTGACCATATTGTTTTTCAGTAGGTTCTCTCACCGGTTAAAATTAATCAAGTAAACTTGAGCTTGTTGCTGGCCAGGGAGCCCAGGGATCTGCCTGCCACTGCCTCTCCAGAGCTGGCAGGATGAGCATGTGCCACCATGCCTGCCTGTTATGGGTTTTATGACACAAACTTACAGCTTCATGCTTATGCAGCAAGCACTTACCAACAAGAGTATCTCGCTAGTCTCTGGAACATATTTGTTTAAGGTATAAATGGATTACTAACCTTAAGCTGCTAACCACCAGGTCAAACGTGTTTTCTTGGAAGGGAAGGAACTCTTCATCAGCTAAAATATTCACAGTAGGAATATCTGTTTCTAAGGAATTTCTCTAATGGTAAAAAATAAATTTAAATATATTTAAGTAGATTCAATTACTAATACAATCTTTGGTAAACACTGCTAATGTTATATTCGCTTAGCAGTTTCTATCAAAAAACAAAACACAAAATGTAGCACATAAAAAGCACTCAAGAATTTTTGCTAAATAACATTCAGTTGCTTCAAAAAATATTAAAAAATACATCCATTCACACTAAAACAAATCTCAGGCAGCTAAATATTTAAATGTAACAAAAGAAACTACAAAGTACTTAATATAAATATACACTTTTAGACTCCTAAAATTTTAAACTTATATATGGAGCTGCAGAGATGGCTCAGCAGTTAAGAGCACTTAAGAGACTGCTCTTCCAGAGGTCCTGAGTTCAATTCTCAGCAACCACATGGTGGCTCACAACCATCTGTAATAGAATCTGATGCCCTCTTCTGTTATCTCTGAAGACAGCTACAGTGTACTCATATAAATAAGTAAAAATTTTAAAAAATTATTAAAACTTATATAAACATGACTAAAAAGTTAGAAGCTATAAGTGAAAAACCAATTTAAAAACTTCTAAAAAGCAATAAACAATATAAATACAAAATGAGAAAAATATTTATTATAAATTATGAAGGATTAACATCTCTAAAATATAAGCTCTTAAAAATGACCTAGGGAAAAATTTATGTAAATGCTCAAATCAATGAAGGTTAGAGGACAAGCATGTCACAAAATTATTTTACAAGTTCAAAGTTAAATAACAATGAGGGCTTGGGAAAATGTCTCCGTAGTTATGAGCACTTGGTGCTCATTGCAGGACCCATGTTTGATTCCCTGCACCCAGAGAGGCTCACAAACCATCTGTAACTCAAGTTTCAAGGGATCCAATATGCCTCTAAGTTTCCTCAGGCACTAGGTATGCAGACAGTGTACATACATACAATCAGGCAAAACACTGACAGAAGCTATCTAAGAAAGGCTATGTATGGCAAGCAAGTGAGTTTCCTGGAGATGGCCCACCATTTCTGCATGGCTGTGATGGGTGCACTCTGGAGAGGCACAGCCTCATAGACCCCATCTCAGGATTGCTTCTCACTGCTGATATATGCCTTTCCTGCCATTATTACATAGCCTAATGATTCCTGGGCATCAACCCATCCTATTGGGCAAATTTCCTGCAGATCAACATGAAGATGTGCTTTTATGAATTAATGCTGTTTAGATAAATTAATGACTTTATAGAAGTCAAATAATTTTAGGAAGAAAGTTTAAGAAGATGGTTTTAGTTGTTTTGCCAGAAAGATGTAATAAAGTTAGAATTAAGAATAGAATGTGCCCCCTCCTCAAAGAATAGTAAGTAAAGGTTGCATAGTAAGCAATACAATGAGCTTTCATAAATTACACTATGAAGAGAAACAGAGTTGGGACAAATTTGTGATCAAGGAAAAACATTCAATCTAGGTCAGGTCCAAATATAAGGCCACAGGTGGGCACCATGATAAAGCAAGGCCATGTGAAACTATTGCTTTGAACTAATAATGAACTTACAGAAAGAAACACTACTTTGAACTTACTAGCAACATCTTTCTGTAACTCTCCTTTTGTGTAACATATTATGTATGAGGCATATTATGGAACATATGGAACATATTATGTATGATTACTGTATTCCGTATACTGCTTAAGTAAGACTTCTTCATGTGTACACATTTATAATTACACTTCTATTACACTGTGACAGAAATGAAGAACTAAAAATTAAACCAGGTCAGAAACAAACAGTGTTGAAAAGCTACCTACCAAAGCATGCTCTGAAATGTCTGTTTGGAAGATCTTTCCTACAGTCTCCTGCAATGGGATAATTAAAGCACATCAGATGATACAGAAACATTTATAGCTGCAGTAGCACAGAAAACAAAAAATTACTGAAACTTCCAAAAGAGGAAATTATAGAGTAGTTTTAGTTTTGTAAAGTTATTTTCTGACCAATTCCAAAATGATATGCAAGTTTCTTTAAAATACATAAAGAATAGCACAGATTTAAACACACGCAATGTAACTAATTATATTTAATACATTTAACTTAACAAAATAGAGACTACAGGTATGAACACCAATATCCTACACTGCCCCACTACTTAAACTTTTCTTTGTTTAATATGCTTACTTTGTTTAATATCCTTACTCCTATTACAAAAAGACTTCAGACAGGTTCATGCTTTCAGTTTCCACTCAAAAAGTTTCCAGAAAAAAAAAAGAAAACCCACGGAAACCAAGGAGCTTCATTTTCCTTGTTCTATCCTCTCTTCTTTCTAAGAGAGGAAGGGTTCTGACAGTGTTGTTCTTTTCTCCGGGATTCTGCATCCTGACCTCCTCCAATATTTAACCTGCATCTTCTTGTTTGCTTGTCTCACCTAACAACAGGCATCAGCTTCCCAACCAAGAAAATTTTTACTTCTGAGCATCATTTAAATTTCATATAGTTTTATTTGAGCATAATAAACATATACTTGATAGTTTTTGTTTATAATTCAGGACTCTACTTACATGGTCCACAATTCTTAGTGCCTACTGTGTCACTAAAGCACTCTCATGATCTAAGCATGAGTAAGCAATCTCTTCCCTCTGGGTCAGTCCTGTTCCACCTTGTAGCTACTCTGATGTGGATTTCATACTACCAACTCAATGCTGCTTGATGCAGGTGTGGTAAGAGAGGTGCAGAACTGACTCTAAGATGCCAGCTCCAGGACACTACCATGGAACAAAGAACTAAGCTAATAAATCTGATTATCTACCTGCTTATCATTTGAAAATCTGAACTAAGAGATATAAGTAAAGACAGGGGCAAAGGTCTCTGAGCTATAGATGTTTAAATTTAAGTTTAAAGCAGTAGTACGCTAAAAATCAGCTCTTGGCAGGACACTATTTTGTAGCACTTGGCAATTGCCATGGTATGACTATTTCTGGAAGAGCTGATTTCAAATTATCATTGAACAGAGTTGGGTAGAATACAATAATTATCTATCATGAGCTTGAAAAAGGCTAGTTAATTATAGAGTACACATATTGGGGTCACATCCATCAAGAAAACTCGGGACAAACTAGAAGAGAAAAAGAAGATAACATGTAGCATTCATGTAATCCCAGAAGGCCTATAAACAGGGGTAGACTTCATACTTTGGTTTCAGTGTCCCAATACCTTGTGAGAAATAGCTCTCATTCCAAATCCGAGTTATGTAAGAACCTCTAACAAATACCTCCGTATTTAAAATTACTTCAGTGGATTTTGGCTCTCAAAAGATAGAGCTGGGCATGACGATACACGTCTTTTATCCCAGCACTCCAGAGGCAGAGGTAGAAGAGGCAGAAGCGGCAGAGGAGGCAGGGGCAGGGGCAGGGGCAGAGGTGGCAGAGGCAGAGGTGGCAGAGGCAGAGGCAGGGTCAGGGGCAGCAGAGGCAGAGGCGGCAGAGGCAGAGGAGGCAGAGGAGGCAGAGAAGGCAGAGGAGGCAGAGAAGGCAGAGGCAGAGAAGGCAGAGGCAGAGGCAGAGGAGGCAGAGGCAGAGGCGGCAGAGGCAGAGGAGGCAGAGGCAGAGGAGACAGAGGCAGAGGAGGCAGAGGAGGCAGAGGGAGAGGAGGCAGAGGCAGAGGAGGCAGAGGCAGAGGAGGCAGAGGAGGCAGAGGCAGAGGAGGCAGAGGCAGAGGCAGAGGGGCAGAGGCAGAGGGGCAGAGGCAGAAGAGAGGCAGAGAGGGGCAGAGAGGGGCAGAGAGGGGCAGAGAGGGGCAGAG